GTGTGTTCTGTAAAAACTTCGAGGACAAATGTAGTCTGTTTTTTCTTTAAATTTATGTATGGCACCTGCAAACGCTCTGGAAAACATACTTCACCTAGCAAAACTTCATTAAAATCATGGTGACAAAATAGTCAAAAGTTTAGGCATTTAGACGTGTTGAAATACACTTGGCAATGTCTATGTCGGGTGCAAGTTCGTCCGTTTCTTTTGCAGGGGTTGTGGTGATGTCAGAATGCAGAGCTCTGATTGAAGGATAGTGGGTAGACCTGAAGGCAGCTAGCATTCTGTACCCACCATCCTTCAATCAGAGCTTGGCATTTCGACGTCACTACAACCCCTGCAAAAAAAAAGCAGAACCTGCACTCCGCATAAACCTTTTCTCAGTAATTAAATGCAAACAGAACAGACCTGGGAACCCTTCTTGCTGATAGCCTTTCCTTGAAAGTGTGAATGGTCAAAAGTCAATGCCATGATAAGCTGAAATACTTCGGACGTAGCATGCTAAAGTGGCAATAAAAATTAAACGGGGATAGCTATCTTCTTTTCATCAAACTTTTCGGAGCTTCATCTTTTGTATAATTACTGTCGTATAAAGAAGACAAAGTCTGGCGGCATGTGAGACGGTCAGCTGGCTGGGCCACGCGTCAGGGTCCGAGATGCGCATGACTGGCAGATACGCTTAAGGTTCGATAAGGGACTCACGGGTATTGGTCTGCGGCCCCGGGCTTTGACCTTTCTCTCGCCTCGGAACACGACATGGTGGCAGCAGTGGGATACTGAACAATCCTCCATCGTTTCTCGGGACCTGAGAAGCTGCACCAAACTCTGCAGTTCGACCGAACGGCCAGCAAAGAAGATTCGAGCCGCTGCTAGATCTATGCCACGACTAGCAACGCAGACGGTTCGAGGGCTTCAATCTCCCAGGCCAGCGGAGGACCTTCCTTCTTCAACCCCTTTGCGGTCGAGCTACCGGAGAAGCTGGATTTCAGGAATTCGAGCGACTGGAAGGGATGGATCATTCAGTGGGACCGCTACCGGATCATATCTGCGACGCTTCGACTCAGGTGAAAACCTTCATCTAAGCGATGGGCAGAGGATGTCCTTTCTTCGCTCGAGATGACACAAGAGGAGCTGAACGATTACGACATAGTCAAAGCTAAGTTCGACACGCACTTCATTCCGCGGGTGGACGTCATCTTTGAGAGAGCAAAGTTCAATTCTAGAAAGCAAGAGCGGGACGAGCCTGTGGAGGTCTTTATCACGGCATTGCACAGATTGGCGGATACCTGTGACTACGGCCCTTTACGGGACGAGCTCATATAGGACCGCATTGTCGTCGGACTCCTGGACAGGAAACTAAGTGAGAAACTCCAGCTCGATGCTAAGCTTACACTGCAGCGCGCGACTACGGCAGCTTGATCATCAGACGGTAAAGCGCCAACAGACTGAGCTACGCAGCACAAGGACAGACGGCGACGTTCTTGAAGAACTCGGAAGACAGCCGAAAACAAAAAGCGAGAACAAGGACTTTCGACGTCCGAACATGTTGCCTCTCCAAGCCCTGTCTAATAATTTGCCATGGACGTGCCGATGGTGTGGCAGTTCACGGAAACACGCCAAGTCTCAATGTGCCGCAAAAGACAAGAAGTGCAACGCCTGCAAAAAGCTAGGCCACTTTGAGAGCGTCTGTTTTTCCAAACACACTCAAGAAAATTTCAGTATACAAGAGCACAGACAAGGACTGAATGAAGTCTTCCTCAGCGAGTTGGTACACTCAAGCAATGGGCAAAGTACCACGGGAAGCCTGGTACATTACAGCCAAAGTAAACAACCAAGACATCACATTCAAGGTGGACACGGGGGCGGACGTCACAGCTATCCCTCCCAATATGTGCGACGCGACAACATTTGCAACTTTGCAGACAACAGGGACGGATCTTTATGGAGCAGGCCACACTCCGCTGAACACGCTAGGCAAGTTCACGGCGACGGTAACCTGGAATGAGCGCACTACTAGAGAAATCATCTATGTGTCCGACCAGCTAAAACAGCCACTGCTGGGGCGGCCTGCAATTGAAGCCCTTCAGGTGCTACCTAGCTTGAACGAAGTCAAAGCTGAAAGCAAGCCGGAGTATGACCACCTCCGTAAAAAGTACCCCTTGCTTTTCCAAGTACAAGATCGCGCTTCACCCTGATGCGAGACCATTCGCAATCACATTCCCGAGACGGGTACCTCTAACTCTGCTACCCAGCACTCAACAGGAATTGCAACGGATGCAAGACATGGACGTTATTGAAAGAGTCGACCATGCCACAGCATGGTGCGCACCCATGGTGGTGGCTAAAAAGCAAGACAGTTCTCTTCGTATCTGCGTGGACTATACACAGCTAAACCCGCAACTGGTGCCGTAGCGGATTATCATGCCAACCGTAGAGGAGAGCTTGGCAAGACTCGCCGGGGCGACGGTATTCAGCAAACTAGATGCGAATGCCGACTACTGGCAAGCACCACTAGCCCCAGAGTCAAAGGAACTGAAGACTTTTATCACACCAGTGGGACAGTTTCAATTCAAAAGACTCCCATTTGGCATTGCGACAGCGCCCGAAGCCTTTCAGTGGGAGATGCTAAGGATCCTAGAGGGAATCCCAGGACAAGTATGTCATATGACATCTTAGTTTTCAGTCGTGACAAAAGGGAACACAACATAAATCTTGAGTTGGTACTCCGCCGCCTCCACGACTCTGGAGTGACCTTGAACACCTCAAAGTGTGAGTTCTCCAGAAAGAGCATCAGGTTTCTGGGCCACCTTCTGGACAGCAGGGGCATTGCGGCAGACCCCAAGAAAATGGAAGCGATCGTCCAGATGTCGGCACCTGGAAGCTTGGCAGACCTGCGATCATTCTTGGGGATGGTCAACCGCCTTGGGAAATTTCTTCCCGACATAGCCGAGAAAACTAAGCTACTTCGAGATCTGCTACACGAGGATGCTAGCTGGCTCTGGAGCGAGCCTCAGGAAGAAGCATTCCTTAACATCAAAGATCTCCTATGCAAGACTCCTGTGCTCACACTCTATAAACCGGATGCACAACTTACGTTGTCGGCAGATGCGTCTTCGTTTGCACCGGGGGCGGTTCTGCTACAAGAGGAAAACGGCAAAAGACGCCCAGTGGTATACGCATCGAGAGCCACGACACAAATGGAGCAGAGATACGCCCAAGTTGAAAAGGAGGCTTTGGCCATCGTATGGGCCTGTGAACATTTCCGGACCTACTTGGTAGGAAAGAGATTCCACATTGAAACAGACCACAAGCCTCTGGTGCCACTGTTCACAACGAAACGTCTTGACGAAATGACACCAAGGCTACAGCGTCTGAGGATGCGCATCTTTGAGTATGACTTTGCAATATCCCACGTACCGGGCAAAGAGATGTTCACCGCGGATGTCTTCTCCAGGAAACCCCTACCGACCACACGCCAGTCTACAGACTCAAGGCACACCGTGGAGATCAGTGAAGCGTTGGTTCACGAGTATGAAATGCTAACATTGGAGCTCCTTCCACCCTCTACCTCATTTTTGTCCAGACTGAAGGCAGAACTTTCCAAAGACCCAACCACATCAAGGGTTATGGAATACAGCGAAAAACAATGGCCGGCAAGGAACAAACTTCCTCCGAACTTAAGCAAATTCGCGAGTCTCGCCGCAGACCTTTCGGTTGTGCAGGGATTACCAATGCGTAACGACCGGCTGATGATCCCGCCTAGTCTGCAAGGAGAAGTCTTGGAGCGATTGCACAGCGGCCATCAGGGTGTTGTCCGATGCCGGGCAAGAGCCAGAGACTCCGTCTGGTGACCTGGCTTAAGCACGAAAATACATGACTATGTGAGTCGCCGTCCTACCTGTCAGCAATATAGACGACCACATACAGAACCCCTTCTTCAGACTTCACTACCCGATCGTCCCTGGCAGGAAATTGGAACGGAACTTTTCCAGTTCAGGGGGAAGAAGTATATAGTCATCGTCGACTACTACTCGAAGTTCTTCAAACTTGAAGAAATACCTCGAACAACCACAGAGGACATTATCAAGGTTTTCAGCCAGAACTTCGCTAGACACAGTTGCCCAGAAGTCATCCGCTCCGACAACGGTCCCCAGTTTGGCTCAACCAAGTTCCGGTGATTCGCCAGAGTGGGGAGTCGAACTGGTTACTTCAAGCCCGTATTATCCCCAGAGTAACGGAGAAGCAGAGAGAGCGGTGCAGACTGCGAAGAAAACCTCGAATTCAGCACAAGCTCTTCTGGCCTACCGAACCATCCCTGGGCCCAAAGGGTTTTCCCCTGCCGAACTTTTGATGGGGCACAAGTTACGCTCCACTCTTCCAACGGCGCCCAGTACCTCTCTGGCAACACTCCAGGAGGTATCGGCAATGATACAGGAAACGGAAGACAAGAGAGGCGTCTAACTATAATAGGCGCCACCGCACAAGAAATGGCAGGGAGCTACACCCACACGCAGCAATGTGGATTCAGGCGGGAGCGGCCGGACCACCTTGGTCTTACCTTGTAGAAACCGACCAAGGAACGATACGACGCACACGGCACCATCTCCAGCCCGCGATTCCCGACAGCGACAGCCAGCCGGCCGGTTACTGGGAGAACGATCCTCAAGCAACCATAACACGAAGTGGGAGAATTTCACGACCACCGGAACGCTATGGACGATGAGGCTGAAAGGGGGAGGCGTCGTATAAAGAAGACGAAGACTGGCGGCATGCGAGACGGTGAGCTGGCTGGGCCACGTGTGAGGGTCCGAGATGCGCATGACTGGCAGATACTCTTAAGGTTCGATAAAGGACTCGCGGGTATTGGTTTGCGGCTCCGGGCTTTGGCCTTCCTCCCGCCTCGGAACACAACAATTACCTTCTCGCATGTTTCACAGTAATCTGTGGCATGGATTTACCACACTCTTTTTGTGACGTGTACCAGTAGGTGTGCACTGTCATGAGAAAAAAATACAATTTATTTAATTACGACAGGGAGCCACGAGAGGGGAAGATGGCAAGTCCCGATCCACCAAAAAGGAGAGGGCATAAGAGTGAAGTCTTGCAAGGCTTGGTCCACGATTCAGGACGGTTTGAAACCTATGATGAATGAAGAGAACAAAGGAGTCCATCAGGTCAACAGGAACAATATCTGACCTAAACATGCAGGGCAATGAAGAGCAGGGGCGAATTTATAGGTCAGGCTGGGTGGGGTGGAGAGGGGAGAAGGGGGAGTTTGCAAGGAGATACTTATTTCACGGGCAAAATGCAGCCCAGATGTGTTTTGTTTACCTAATATTTGTTATGTCACCAAAAACTAATAATTTTTCCTAAGAAAAGCTGGGGTATGTTGATTTTTCATTAAGAAAAAGTTAACCTGAAAAAAAAAAAAAAACTCCCCCTCCTTAAAAAAAAAAAAATCTGCTAATGATGCAGAGCATTTGAGTATGCACCAAAACACTGAGGGAGAGGGGGAGACGAGAATGTGTGTGGACGTCAGAACACAGAGCTCTGGTTGGAATGACTAGTGGGTTGACCTAAAGGTAGTATACGGCTAGCAGTTCAAGATGAGGAAAAGAAAGAACTCCCCTCTTGCTCACAGTGCTTGGACCCTTATTTTTGTACCCGCACATCACCATTCTTCCCTTGGAAAATTAGCTCCTTGATGCTCTTCGCTAAACATTCGGACGAAATTTGCCAATCCCCCCCCACTCCGGCCTGTGGCTTCTACAGTACTACGCACAAATATCCTCCGTGGACCCCTAAACTGACAGTGCTGTGGAAACTATGTGCTCCATGGGCCAGTCGCGCTTGAGAATCTTTTGCCACATGATCACGCTCCCTTGCTTATAGCCATATTCGCAGAATGGGGTCAGGTGATGGACAGGGGGGGCGGGCGAGGTTTGTCAACTAACGTCTCAACTTTTCACCCCCGCACGGATTGCGACAGAGATCTCGCGGTAGCTGACGTTTGTTTTGAACCTATCCTTATCCGCTGATGTAATTCAACGTCTGTCTGGCAACAAAATGACTAAAAACTTGCAAATGAAGCACAGGTTGTCGATTGCTTGCTTCACAGAATGAATAGCACAGCTCGCGTCCGATTTTGTTGCCCGTGGAACGTGCTTTCTTTTTTTTTTTAGGTTCTCTCGTCTCTTATGGCGGAAAAACCCCAGTTGTCTGCTCTCGTTCCTCTCCTGAGTGCTGCATGACGGGAGTGCATTGTGGTGCATACTTGACTCTCAAGGTGCGGCGAGTGCATGGACGCGTGGAGTGGCAACGCCGAAATGAACTCGTGAAGTACACTGGGCACAAGCACTGGGCACAAGCATGTGGCTTCGTCTTGCATCTTGTTCGCGTGCAGAAGTTGCTTCGACAGTATTGCAGAAATTACACTATCCCTGACAATGAAGTACAAAAAGGTTTGTGTTGAGTCTAGACACTGCTGCAAGATTGCCAAGCCAGGAAACCTAAACCGAGCCACCACTAAATGTGTTCCGTTTCAAAATGGCCTAATTGGCAAGACTGAACTGCCACCAAATGTATTCCGTTGTACAGCACCAAAGTACATCACCAGACATGAGTGTCAAAAAATATACTTACAATGGCTAGCGACGCCTCATAAAAGTCACGCGATGACCCTCTGCTTGGCCAGTTAAGCCACACGTAGTGCCGTGCAGGGTACAGGACAGCAGCCATGAGCCGGCTGGTGCGTCGACCCAGGGTCCCGCCCATAGTGTTCCGCTGCTGCCTTGAACAAGGTGAAAGCCAGCTCATTGATGTCATGGTCCTCGGGACCTGTGGTGTGTAACCATTGTGTTTAAGTTTGATAGTCACCGACCAATATTTCGGACTCGATGGGGATAGCACAAAACTCAGAATAATCGAGCAGTCCGAAAAAATGAATTCTGCCTAAAAATCACTTTATTGCGATTTTAAGCACAAAGTTGCTACAGAAAGTGATTGATACAATAGGCTCACAATAATTGAAGCTTGGATATTTTGTACTTCCGGATAATTCAAACAGATTTGAAAACTTTGGTTGTCCCGCTATGTTTTTAATGTATTTATAAGCCGCTTAATCCGAATGGCGTTTACGCTTAATTCATATCTTTTTTTGTTCTCGCGGCCCCGTTGAATGCGCTTCTTTCCGAGCACCGGTGCACCACAGAGAAGCAATACCTGCAGAGCGTGCTTTCAGTGCACCGGTGCTCATAAAGAAGCACACTCAACGGGGCTCAAGCGGGCACACATTAGCAGAAAACAGCGTTCACATTATGTGCTTCAAGACTAGCAATGATGACCAAGACGACATCGAGGATGAGGACCAGCTCACTGGCATCATGCTTTCTGGCCTTGAAGCACATAATGTGAACGCCAAGCTGGCGGAATATGCTAGTCTTGACGATGATGTATGTGTTTGTCGTGATGACTCATTAGAGGACATAGTACAGGAAGTAACGCCAGCAAAGTGCAGCAGTGAGAGTGAAGATGACAATGAAGAAAGGGATGACTTGCTATCAACTATCACAGCCATAGCTTTGAGCACATCGCTCAGCTCCGGAAGTTTCTGTCTGCAAAGGAAGAGTCCCGTAAAGAGCTACTTGCGTTGGCTGGTATTGAAAATTTTATTTTGAGATCGTATGTGCTGACTAAACAGTCCACAATCGACAAATTGTTTGCCGGATGAATAAACTTAATGTCACGGCTCTTTCACTAATGTGTTATGCCAGTACTTGCTTATAATTAGGCCTATGTAGAGGAAACTGGCAAAAATCTGCTTTGTACGAGTAGCTATCCATGTAACAAATCATAATGCCATCTAGTATCATATTTAGATGAATTTCTGATAATTCAAACTAAAATCTGTGACTTCCTGGAGTTTGAATTAATGAGACTCTACTGTAGTTTGCTGTACGGCATTTCGCATTCAGCGAGTCATTTTGTCACTGTACACAGACGAAAGCATAAAAGCGTTCGGACAAGTTACGCATTCACGGCTGCACGATGCTGGCAACTGTAGGGCGAGTCGTTAGACTTTGCCCTTGGTGAAAGAGTCCTGTTTGTAACACTGTGCCGCTGGAGGAAATGCCCAGATTGATTGCTACTTCCTTGGCGATACAACCGCTGCCTTCTCACCTCGACACATGGGAAATATTGCAAACAAAAGCAGACACCGTCACGACTTCATAAGGTGAAACCGGAGAGGTCAAGAGTGGAAGAATTGCTTGAGTGTTGACGTGCTATGTCGCATCAACAGCAGAGGCCTGCCATTAAAAAAAAAAATACTAGTTTGCAGTTTCTTTGCTGGACGTGACGTCACGACAACTGACGGCAGCGATTGGCTGGCAGAGTGATGTAGATTCTTTTGGGGGGAATTTGCCACTGAATTCATAACCTGACATCAAATGTAGTTTCTAAACATGGCAGATACAATCAGGCCAGTTTCCGTCCACGATGCTGCCGCCTAGTCTGTCGCACAGATTATTTCTATTGCTAAGGGGCAATTGGGGCTTTATGTAAACATAGGCTGGACGTGCGTGTAGGAAAAATAACATGAATGACCGACCACATCATTGACTCGTCCAACATATTGCAAAAAAACAAAATAAGAAAACCGACAAGTCAACATTTTTTTTTTTTTTTCCTCATTTTTAGTGGCTGTTGTGTAACATCGAAGTATAAGTACCGAGTAAAATAAAACTAAAGAAAAAGTACATAACGTAAGGTGTACATGAACTCTATAGATATAATACCAGTCCCAACGGTTTAGCAAAGAAGCCAGTCTTCTCAGAAAACCCCCTCTCTCACTTGAGTCCGTTTTCTAATATTTGAATCTTAAAAAGAAGTTGCCCCGAAAAAGCGGCAGAAAATGCACAAAACAAAGTGACAGTGCCTAAAAAGGTCACACCTGCCTTTTCATATGGCTCTCGGAACTACATATAGTGCAGGATGCAGAATGGTACCCATGGGCTAGCTGCAGTTGTAACCCAGTGCTTGTAGTATATTGCAGCTGCTTGGAAGGGAGAGAGGCCACCTCCTTAATGCCGTGGTACCGGGAAAAGCAATATTAAAGAGCCGCAGGCGTCGAGCACCTTGTATTTCTGTGCATCCACAGTGCAATTCTGGGATAGCAAGGACAGAAAACTTCAGTAACACAGTGAACAAAAAAGTGACCAAAAGAACTGCAGTAGGGTGGAAAGTTGGGCTAGTTGGTAGTTATTCATCTTGGTTTTAAAAGCGCACAAAAGACGAGGACAGAGTAAGAAACACAAACACAAACAAAAGCGCTCGTCCGTCGTTTGTTTTCTTACTCTGTCCTCGTCTTTTGTGCGCTTTTAAAACCAAGAGACCAAAAGAGTAGGCATGCAGGCGAGCGTAAATTGTAGACACAGCTAAAACTCAAGGCACAAGGAAGCAGAAAGAGGGCACTTCAAGAGGCCTTTCGACTTCCCTGCATGTCGGATTTGAGTCTCGTACCAGGCAGTAAGAAGCAACAATACTGGTTCACTAGCCTTTCCTGCCTCAAGAAGCCTTGGAACAAAGAAATCCTACTGGTCATACATTTTGTTTTCTCTTCTCGGGGGGATTACAGTGCACGCTGCGGCAGCAAACTGCCTCGAAGGGGCTCGACATACACTCCTAAGAGAATGATTGGCAAGCAATTTCTCCATTGTGTACTATGTGCATTCTATGTTTTAAAGTCCATTTTTTGGTAGACTTCGATTTGGCTGGAAATTTGCAGACCGCATCATTAAGCCTTTTTTAACTGATAACCAAAATATTAAAAAAATATATATATATTTCTGTGAAGTTATTAAACTTTCAAGTTATGCCGGCCGGGAAGGTTCCAGGAGGCGACACTCTACTGGCATCAATGAAAAATCCCTACTTTTCCCTACCCGCGTACGTCACGGATGTGCAGGCGGACGAGCGACTCGGGCAGCCGCCAAGTGGCTTTCCGAACGCCAGCGATCGAGGTGATCTTTTCGCAGCTTCAAAGTTGAAAGTTCCTTTGCAATCTGTGCTCCTCTATAGATTATAGAAACAGTGCCGGGAAAAAGCTTCTTTTTTGCCCTTGTTTTCGTGGGAGAAAAAAAAAAAGCGTTCCCCGGCAGCAATGGAGGGCAACCATGTCAAGGTGCTTTTGCGCGAGCTGTGTGCCGAGAGAACTAGTGTCACATGAAACATTTTCACTTTTGCTCGAAATACTTTATAGCCGCATGCTGCGAGTTGAGTATCCTTCAGCAGCTCAAGAGTGGCAAGCGCAAACTCAAGCCGGCTGTGAACATTACGACATCCGTCCAAAGAAGAGCGCTAAGAACTGAGAAAAATAGTACAGAATCTAGCACTATAGTCGACATTTTGCAAAGTCACATTTGTTATTCACAATTAGTTCAGTGATTTTTTTTTTTTTTTTTTTTTTTTTTTAATTTTTGAGAAACACTATATTTGTTTGGGACGTCGAATCTAGCTCGGGCGACTCTAGGAGTTCCACTCACGCGGCCGATATGTTGAAAACGAGAAGAGAAACATATAAACGAAGTTCAAGTCTGAATTTAGACACGACTTTTGACATATTGCTATTCCTGTCTGCTGTTACAGAGGTTCATGGATCAGGTGTTGAGCTCCATTAAAGGGTAGGAAAACGAAATTCCAGCGCTCATTTTCTAGCTTGCACCCTAACCTCAAAAACACCAGTCTTCCGTTGAAAGGCACAAGAAAACTAATTTTCAAGCTAAATAAACAATCTTTCAATGTGCACCTGCTGGATGCATGCGGAGCCTATTTGGGAGGTAATTTAGCAACGTTGGGAAACTTGCTACGTAGTCGTGACATAGACTCTTTCGGAGCAGCGCCACTCTTTGGCATTTCAACATTTTCCTTCTTAGCTTTCCTCCTAGCTCAACTCACAAATCGCGCATTGTACCAAACAATCCAAGAAGACTGTAAGGAAGGACTCCCCTCTTTCTCGGACCCTCGTTCGTGCAACCGGACACATCCATTGTCCCCCTAGAAGATTAGCCCGTCGCTCAAAACTCGAAAAAAAGTTGCTTTCCCCACAACGTTCAGCCCTAAGCTATCAGTGTTGTGGAAGCTATGTGCTCCTTGGGCCAGCCACATGCCCGTCACTCCACGGGTACTTCGAACGGCTTGGTTGTTACGCGCTGACACTATTGACACCACCACAACGCTGACAATGCCACCAAAGGCAAAGCTCATAACCACGCCAGCCTTGCTACGCCACCAATGCGGGGAATCTTTTCTTTCTGTTTTTGCTTGCGCCGGATATCCCATGACGCATCGCGCTCTCCGTTCGCTTCTCTTCGAGCGCTTGCTCGAGTGCACGGTTTGGAACAAAAAATATAGCCAGCCGTTTAAAATACAAACGTGTGATTATCATTTACGGTTATTTTCTGTCATGCTTGACTCATTTCTGAACGAAATTTGAATATTTCGATTTTTGTTTTTGTACCCCTTTAATATACGATAGATCCTTGCCTGGTTTGTCAAATGGTTGGCGTGCAATATTCGCTGCAGAAGAAGTGATGAAAATGTCTTTAATTTATTATATTGCGAAGAAATTTTATATAGAGCTGAAAAGTTTTTTTTTTCTTTTAATTATGAAAATATTAATGTTGTTAAGGGGAGGCATGCAAATTTACAGCTGATGAAAATTGTGCCAAACGAACTTAACTAAAAAAGAAATTTACATAGAATTACCCCCTCCCCTATTTTGAATTAAAAGATTTATAATGTCTTTCTGTACCTCGCACACTATTGTATCTTCAAGCAAATAATCTTTATTTAGAGATGAACAGTGTATTTGTGTATTTTATACGCATTCCCCTGCACCTTGATGTTTGGCTTGGTGGTTGCGAAGTTCTTTTAATCGTCATTTTAACACAATCGTCATGACCAGTAACCTGCCATCTGATCTACACGAACGCAGTTCATTCCATTCTATACTTTTCATTGTTTACGATAATCACAGTCAACATGTCTTAGGTCCCATCCCAGCATACACATGTTCATCGCTTTGGAAGGCAAGCAATATATGTGCCACACGCATGAACGCTGAAAATGGCATCGACCAGAAGCGCTTTTCAGAAATGGTTTACAGATCTTTTGCTAAATTACTTAAGCACCAAGGAGCATATTCATGCCACAAGAGTAGTCACACGTGCTGACGCCTGCAACAGTAACTTTTCAAAAGAAAATCTAA